CCCTGACCAGTTGGTGGAAAAATACCTGGAGCGTGAGTGGGTGGAGGGTGGACGAGGAGGTGGGTCTGCCCAGCACAGCCTGCATCGCTGTGCACCTTGTTTTGGCCTGGGGACTTCAACCTGTTTGCAGTTGTTATTTGGGCTCCCTCCCTAATCTTTCTCCCTCCCTTGGGTCCCTCCCTTGAGTCTTCATCTCTGTTTCTTTCCTCTCTCCACGCCTGTCCCTCAACACACTCTCTCTCTCTCTCTCTCTCTCTCTCTCTCTCTCTCTCTCTCTCTCTCTCTCTCTCTCTCTCTCTCATACCTCTCTCCCTACTACAGATTGTTTCCTGGGGTCTTCTGGAATCTCCTTTTATCGTACACCTGTCTCTCTAGTGTGTTGGTGTCCCTCTGTGGCTGTCACTGCCTCTTGCTATGAGTGAAGGTTTCTGCATCCTTGTGTGTACTCCTTCTTGTTTTTTTTCTGCCTTTGTTTCTGTCATCTTTTAGCCCTTAGCCATCTGTCTTTTTCTAACTCCATCCCTCTGGACCCTGCCTCCAGTGGAGGAACGCAACTTTGCTGAGTTTAACTTCATCAATGAGCAGAACTCCGAGCTACACCACCTTCACGAAGAGATTAAAGAGGTGAGCCAGGCCCACCCTCCCCGAACCCTTCCTGCCTCCCCAGGGGGAGAGCCGACTCAGCTCCTGCCCCATGTGCCTGTAGATGCAGGAAGCCTTAGTCAGTGAGCATGCCAGTCAGGATAGCCAGCACCTGCAGCAAGAGCAGCAGTGCAGAGTGTTGCAGCAGGATGTGGACAAGGTGCGCTCTGAGTCTCAGCAGCTGGAGGTGCGCTTGCTGGCTCTCCGAGCTCAGGTGGAAAAGCTCAAGGCTGGTGAGTGCCCAGGGTTCCTCTCTCAGCCCAGCTTCTCCATTAGGAAGGATGGGTGTGCCTGTGGGGAGCTGGCCACTAGGAGGCATTTGCATTGGCTTCTCTGTCCATACCTTTTGCCAGCCCATCTGGGGTGCATCTGTCTGTCTATCCATTCTCTCATCTACCTGTCTGTTTATGAGTGTCCAGGTGTGTGATTGTTGGGTCACAGGCCAGGGTACTTATATATTTATTGGAAAATGCTGAACAGTCCTTTGGAGCAATTTCTCGTTTTCATCTTCCTTCCTTCCTTCCTTCCTTCCTTTCTTTCTTTCTTTCTTATTTTTATTTTTGGTTTTTCAAGACAGGGTTCTCTGTGTAGCTTTGTAGACCAGGCTGGCCTCGACTCACAGAGATTCGCTGGGATTAAAAGCATGCATGCATGCTTGGCTTCATTTTCCCCCTTCCTTCCTTCCTTCCTTCCTTCCTTCCTTCCTTCCTTCAGTTTTTTCTGAGGTTGGGTCTCTCTATTATGAAACTCTGTATTTTCTGGAAGTTGCTATGTAGGCTAGCCTGGTCTACAAAACATGTTTCAAGGCAGCTAGGGTTATGACACAGAGAAACCTTGTCTCAAAAAACCAAAAAAGAAAAAGAAAGCTATGGGCCACTATGGCAGTGTCTCCTTTTGCGCCTCTGTGTGCACACGTGTGTCACAGCCCCCGCCCGCCTCTCACGTCACCTTCTACAATAGCTGTAGCAGTCACTCACTTTGGCCCCTATGTAGTCAGTGGTCAGTAATAGTGTCACCCTATGGCTACCTCTGTGAATTCCTGTTTGGCTTTGTGCATTTTGAATGTTAAAATTTATTTGAGTGTGCATGAGTGCACATGAGTGTGCCATGGCATATATGTGGAGGTCAGAGGACAGCTTACTGTAGTTGGTTCTCTCCTTCTACCATATAGGGTCTTGGGATCAAACTCAGATGTCAGCTTGACAGCAAAAGCCTTCACCTACTGACTCACCTTGCCAGTCCATATTTTATTTATTTATTTACTTAAGTAATTAAACATTTAAAAAATTAGTTTTACGTATTTTACGCAACAGTGTTTGCCTACATGTATTATGTATGTACGCCGCGTGCATGCTTGTTGCTACAGACATTAGGAGAGGGCATCAGATCTCTTGGCACTGGAGTACGGATAGTGTGAACCACCATGTGTGGGAATTGAACCCTCTGCAAGAGCAATAAGTGCTCTTAACTGCTGAGCCATCTCTCCAGCCCCGCCATGAATTAGATTGTTCTTCCTGTTCTGAGGTATGAGGATTGTCTATTGAATCTGTTATTGATTGTATGTTGGGTACTCTCCCACTTTTTGTGGAATGTATTTTACACTTGATCAGATGTACTCAACTCTCGTTTGTGATTAGTGGCTTTGTGGTATAAGAAGCCTTTACCTATTTGAGGTTACAAAGTTATTCTCTTGTTTTTTTTTTTTTTTTTTTTTTTTTTTTAAATTTTTTTTTGCTTTCTGCTAGAACTTTGTTTGGCTTCCATATCAGAGCCTGGACCTGTCACAGAGGAAGTCAGTCACATGTGTGGGGTCATGTGGTACCTAGAGTGTTTTCTTGCTTCTCCCGATGGGGAACTGGTCCTGTTATCTGGTCCTGGCCCCCTTTCTGGTCTTCAGGGCAGCTGAGCAAGCTTTCAGGAGACTGCCCACACTACCTTTGGGTCCCAGGGCCACCTGCGGTTGGCCCAGGTGTGCACCTCTTTCTGAGTCTCTGGAGACTTCTCTCGGGAGTCAGCTAGGGTGCCGGTGGAGGGAAGACAAAAAGGTGGGGGTGGCAGGAGGCCTGCTGTGGCTCACAGCAGAGCTCAGCACGCAACCTTTCTCTCTGACACATGCATGTCTGTAAATATATGAAGTCTGCACAGAGTCTACAGCTTATTGTTGGCTTTTCATTTTTACATTGATGGGGTGAGAGCCCATTAGTTACTCTGCCGTTTTCACTTATCTCTCATTGGTCAGTATCTTGGAGTATAACAGCAATATCATAATTTGATAGTGTGGTAACACTGTAGGATGTTCAGTGCTGTCCAGATCTTGCTATTTGAATATTCCATTTCTTGGCATGAACATTATCTTGTGGGTTGTCTATCAAAACCAAGGACTGCATAACTTCAAGCATAGGCATTTCTTACCCACCAGTCTGGAGGCCAGAAGGCTGGTACTTCTGAGGGCTATGAGGAAGGATCTGCTCCTGTATGTCTCTTTGGCTCTGGCTGGCTTCATTTCCCTGTCTAGCATCTTACCCCACCTCATATCTACACCATATGTTACCTCTTCTTTACTTTTTTTTTTTTTTGCCGGCGTGGGGGGGTGTCTCGAGAGTCTGTGTAACAGCTCTGGCTGTCTGGAACTCGATTTGTAGACCAGGCTGGCCTAGAACTCACAGAGATCCGCCTGCTTCTGCCTCCTGAGTGCTGGGATGAATGGCGTGCGCCACCACATCTGGTTGTTTTACTTATTTTTATGTGTGGGTTTACGTGTGTGTGTGTGTGTGTGTGTGTGTGTGTGTGTGTGTGTGTGTGTGTTGCCACCATTTTATAATGTCACTTTCCTCTTGTGTTAGGAGCTACTGTGCTCTAAGTGGCCTTGTCTCTTCCTAATAAATCCCATTCTAGGACCCTGGGGGAGGTTTAGACTCCCAACATTAGACTCTATAGGGACACCGTTCACCTATTATAATCTGGCTGTTGCAGAGTTGTCCCTCCTCTGCAGAGGGACAGTTAGGTAATTTCTGGTGTTTTGCTGTTATTAGCAGATTAGCCAAGAGCCCTTTAGGAAGTCAAATACAAAACAGAAACCCAGCTATATGTTTAAAGACTATCCAGTGATGGCATGCAGCTTCTAAGGGGGGCTGCAGGAGCGACAGACTCACGGCTCACCCTTGTGGGGAGGTGGGACTCAGCTGTGGAGCTTCTGCCCGTTAACCACAGGGCCTGGGGGTGAGGGGCCATAGTGGGGTGTCTCCTGGGACACGTGTGCTCCAGGTGGGATCTGAGCCCTGGCATTATTGGGTTGGTAGAAAATAGGCTTGTTTCCAGCCAAGGTGCACCACCAAGGCAGTGTCTTGTCATATCTCCTGTACCCTCTTGAGCTCTGAGGCTAAATGGACCTTGTGCCTGGCTGCCTGGGCCGGGCAAACCCAGTCAGTCTTTGAGCCTTGCCTTTTCCAGTGAGGCTGTTGTTATTATGTACTGAGTTACCTTATGGTATGTTCTTCTCTGATCCCAGATATCCAGCTTCTCTTCGACAAGGCTCAGTGTGACAGCAGTGCCATCAAGGATCTCCTTGGGGTCCAGGCCTACATGAGGGATAGGGACGTGGGCCTCTTCCTGAGTACCATTGAGAAGCGGCTGGGGGAACTCCTCACAGTGCAGGCTTTCCTTGTGGTCCAGGTGGGTGGCAGGCACTTGGGCATGGGGCTGAGCTGGGCTAGGCCTGAACTAACTCCAGGCTTCCACACTCTCAGAACCATGCCCCTTTGGCTGATGCTGCCCTTCTGGCACTGGGACAGAGCCAAGATGACCCTCCAAAGAAGACCACTCCACTCCAGCCTCCTGACACACTGTGAGGCTTGGGCAGAGCAGGGAAGGACTGACTCTATGGGGCAGACAAAAGGGATGGGATGGAGGGCTTGGTATAGCTTGTGGGTGTGGCCTTCTGGGGCACAGAGGGTGAAGTGGGTGTTTGGAGGGAGGTGGGAGAGTAGAGAGATGGAGTTCTGGGGCTCCAAGGGGAGGGATGGCACAGGACCACTGTGATCTGTGTGTGAGGTAGAGCTATGACACTGGACTTTCTTTCTCTCTCCCACCCGAGGGAGGACTCCCCAGGTTTTGTGGTCAAAGAGGACTACCCTATGAGCAAGGAGGAGCTGCTGAGTCAAGTGATGAAGGCGGTAAGCGTGGGCCCGCAGGGCTGGGATAAGGACTTCTACTGCCTGTTGGGACCCTAATGCTGCCCACCCCCAGATGGAGGTCAAGAACCTGGAGGAGACCCCAAGGAAGTTGGACAGCAGCCCGAGCTTGGCTTTCTCCACTACTGAGATCTCCCTGTCAGGCCCCACCCTGGGGATCCCCAAGAGGACCAGCACAGTCCCTGAATCCATTCTGAGCCACAAGACAAGCCGAGGCCGTGGCACTGGCTCCATAAGCCATGTCACCTTTGGTGACTCTGGCTCTGCCGCAGGCCCTGGGACGTTGGGTTCTGCCAGTGCCAGCGGACCACTGGCGTCCAGCCGGGGCTCTATAGTGGGCCGTGGGAGCTTCAAACATACCAGCTCCAGCAGCTACCTGGGGTCCACTGGCTATGTGGAGACCAGCCGAGGCCATGCGAGCACAGGAGGTGGCGTACAGAGCCAAAGCATTGGATCAGAGTTGAGTAGAGGCCTTGGCTCCAGCAGTGGCCAGGCATCCAGTTTTCTCCCTGCCTCCAGGCCCACTTCCTCCACTAGCAAGGACTCAAGGGGCTACAACTAGAGCTGCAGGTGCCTTCCTGCCTCAGCTCTTGGCAGGGGTTCTTATTTTTGCCTTCCTTTTCCTCAGAGACTCTCCAGTCCCCCTACACCCAGGCCTCTCGAGTTCCCCATCTCTTCCCATCTCCTGCTCACTCATTGTTAGGTCCTCTGTTTCGTCTTTGACTCTCTGTTGTCCATGTCTCCCATCTCTACCCTCTTCATCTCTCTCCTGAGCTTCCCTGCGTCCGATGTCTCTGTCTCCTAACTGGATTCCCTTCCATTGACTAGGTGAACTGTAACCATAGGCAATAAAGGTCAGAACCCAGCTTTTCCTTCAACCTGGTTCCTACTAGTGTGCTCAGATATGGCTTCATCTGTTTCCAGCTCAGGGAAAAATATTTGTGAACCCACTCCTGTCCCTGCCT